GGGGGGCACACAGTTCAGCTTATTGACGATACCCAATGTCTGAAAAAAAAGCAATTCTGCAATTCTGAACGGGCACAGAATACGTGGCGTATCATGCGTAGTTTGCTCAATTAGCTGAACTTGCCATGGGACTTGATCTAAAGCTTATGTTAACACTTCAACAGGTTCCACTAGCGTACGCGCCTACAATCATCTGGAAGACACTGTAGTTTACATCCAGCAGGCCCTTGAATTCCATTATGATTCCGAAGGCCATCTAATACCTGAATAAGTCAGAAGGTGTTCTACGGTATTTTGACTGCTTGAAATGAAGCGATAAACCCTGCAAGGGATCAATCATACGTATCCCATTACCCTACAGTCATTACGTCGCCAGTCTTCCGCTCGGTTTTCTTTTAATCTTTCGTATATCTTACTAATATCCATGACCAAAAAGAATCACTACTTTCTCACTGCAAGCATAAATCGCTGAATGATCAGCGGCCGCTTTCGTTAGTTCGGATGTGGGTCAGCATTGTTCCGTTGAATTGTACAGGGGCGAATCCAGTTCTCTCCTTGGACAATGACCCGAACGGTTGCGCTGCTCGTCTCATGCTGTGAGTTTAAAATTCTCTACCTCAAAAGAAATAGTTCACGTTCCGTTTGTCATACATGTGTTCTTCTTATAGTAATACTTGTACATGCGCTGGATGTGAACAATCAGGCGGAAGTCAATAGGAATAAACAGAAAGGCGTAGGACCAGTGAAGACGGCCAAGGATGATTGCATGAAGGTGAGCGTAAACTCCATGGGCTCTCAGCGTTTATTTCCCATTCTTCATTGAGTTAGTTTATCAACTTATCATTTCGCATTTGTTTATAATCATGGAAGGATGTGGGAAATCTCTAAAAAACGGGCTTTTCCCGCTTTTCCAGTTTCTGAGATTTTTTCCTCAAGAAAACTTGGAAGTGTTGTGGAGTTCAATTTAACTAACCAAAGTCTTCACGGTTTTGTGATGCCCGTAATCAGTGAGACGTGTTGCGAATAACGATGACATGACCCTACCTTTAAGGGCGCAGCTCGCGATAATTTTGAGGTACCCGTTTTAAGTCAAAAAGCGGATCTATTGGTTGGGAATAGTCCATCGGTAGGGAAGAAAGTGCGGAATTTGTTTTAAGACGAGTGAGTTTGCTTAAAAGTAGTGGAATAAGAGTTTGAACGATCACAATGACCAAAAAGACATGGAAGGGATATTCGGACGAGATTTCAATTGTTACAATTGCGCAAAGAGCTGGCTACATCAAGCCAAAACTGTTCGAAAATGCCTTTCATAGTCGCTGTGGGTCATGACAAGTTGTTTGGACTTCCTACATGGGTTCCTTGGGTAACCTCTCCGCGAATTCCCACGGCCTGCGGCAGTGGTTCTGCGGCGACTCTCCGTATCCTTCCATTAGGAGTTCGAATCTTTCCCTTCACAGCGCTCGATCGCGTGCTCGAGCGCGACACGCCGTTCGGGGAGAAGATGCCAGACCTGGGTTCCTTCCTAAATGGTGCAGCCTCTAAAGGCCGTCGAAACTCGTCCGCGCATACATACGGAACAATCTTCAAGCCTTTATTATGCCCTATCTAGGCCGTTTCCCGGCCTGATAGCGCCACATATGATATACGAGAGGGTCACAGATTTATCCTAACGGGATATATCCCAGGCCATTTTCATCGTGAACTGTGCCTTTAATATGAAATTGTTGTGGAGTATTAGCAGCACAACCTGCTCTGACTTGATGGGGATCTTTACGAAAGCCTTTAAAATTCTCGTACTTTCACCATTTCCTTACAGCATCTTATGCATATTCTTTAAAACCTTCAATGGCCCATCAACAAGTGGATTGGCTCATCTGAATCCACTAATAGGCTCGCTTCCGGAATCACGAATCTTCGATTTCTGTAGAATGTTACCATCAAATGTCGAAACGACTGTCGAGCGTTGTCTGCTTTCATCGAGACTTTCCATGGAATCGGCTTGTTTTCGGTTCAGCTTAGCCGATTCGATACTCCTGTCCTTATCGTCCCGACATCCGCTTCAAAACTAACAGACAATAAGCCGGAAGACTTGGATAACATGACTGAAAAAATTCATTGAAGTAAAATGTATTCAATAAGTAAGAGCCCACTTCTAGGCATAGTTTGATCCGTGATGTCTTCACTGTCAATTGTCTATAATGTCGCTTTTTTGTCCGGCTCAGTCAAAAACTTTATTTTGAAGATGTTTTTGAGGGTTAAAGCCATCTGCAAGATTACCTTTTGAAATGGGAATGACCACGTAAGATTTCACTGCCATCTTTCTTTCCCCCTCGTCGAAATGTGCGGCAGACGGGGCTCACGAAGGGAGTTAAGTGGGCGAATATGATGTCGAATCTGCGGCAAATGAGATACATCTAATAAAACCGAAACTGCATATGTTGAAGTAACGGTAAAGATCAGTGGAATGATATCTTCAGGGCAATGTGGTATCAAACAATGGGGCACCGCTTACACACGAGGTTCTTACCGTTTTTCCCTGCTGTTTTGAAATCAGCTGCGAATACTACAGAAAATATCATTCTCGTGAACTTTTGACAGATTTACGTGAATGTCTTGATAATTCAGCACTGATCATCTTCAACTTTTTATTTACCCTAAATATCGCATCCTTGGTTTTGCAATAAAATTAATGAAGAAAATAAAGCCTTTAGGCTTCGATCAACTCCGTCTGAGGGATGCGCATACGACACTCAACTTGCATTCAACATCGTAGTGACGTACTGAATGCGTATTTAGCCTATAAAATGACTTGTAGTAGCCAGCCGATGTACAAGCCAAGACCTTTATCCTCCCAGAGGAGTCTTGTACCGAGTAGTCGATCCTGGATGGGTGGTAGACTTGGTTAGCTTAGCCAAATACATATCCGGGATTCGAACCCTTGACCATGCGTGTAGGACTGTGAGCCACTTGCCACTACACTACCTCCACAAACCGATTGAGGCTGAACCGCTGCTTAGAAACTTAGGAAAATTTACCGTTTCATGGTAAGATATTTAAAAAAGGCCGATGTTTGCTTAGAAGTATGCCAATTAACCGAGCTGGACGGATGGAAGGCTTGGTTGATATGGGCAGATATCATTTCTGCCCATGCCAACCAAGCCTTCCAGGATCGGTTAATTGGTACCAGATGGTGATCCGGGCTGGGATTTGAACCATCGAACATGCGTGTGCGATAGTGCGCCTCTTGCCACTACACCATCTCCGCCTTTATTATAGTAATATACAGAACATAATTTGTTATAAATTACATAAGTAAAATCGAACTTGACACTATTCAATGGAAGAGATCACGGATTGACATTCGTCCTGGCCAACAGAGCCTACCATTCCTTCGGGGCCAGCCAACTGATGCCACATTCGTGTGGGAGGATAAAAACACCTAGATGTTCATCGGGTGGCTACCGTAAGTCATTGCATAATATCCTCCTATCCAAATAATGCTTAGCAGTTATTAGGCCTACACCACAATTCACTTAATAAAATTAGTGTAGTGGAAACTAGGTGCTAAAGTGGTCTGCTGCCTAGTCAACACGAAAATTGTTGGAAGAACGAGACACAAGTTTGATTGCCTTCATTAGAATCAAGGACAGGTAATATTGTTGCGGAGTAAATGGGATCATTTATCGTTTCCCTTTGCAGAACCGGTTTCCGTTTTCACTGCCGCAACAGTGATAAAATTGATTACTCGGCAATAAAAATACTTGATAGTGGGTCACATCCTTTTTTGTGGAACGAACAGTTTCTCACTTATTGTGGAACAAGTAACCACCCATTCAAATGTAAAGAGCTAACCACTGAAAGCGATTTAGTCATCCCGAGTACTGATAAAGGAACCCTCTCTTTGCCCGACATTCAATGTTTTACAGGGTCTCGTCCGGTTCTCTGAATTCTAGGTTCCACGACAAAATTTTAACCTCTTAAAGGAGGATGTGAAGAGAGTTAGTGTCTCATTCTAGTCAGCGATCTTACCAGCGAGAGGATTTCAAAAGGGAAAGAGGACTTCAAGAAAAGGTTCATGCAGTCTAGTGATAAAAAATGTATTTTCTTGTGTAACTTTGCTGGACTTCAGTGCACTTTTACCAACAACTCACTGGTTTTTTGAGCCCAGTGTAAAGATTTTTTTTTGGTTGCATTCGTGACCAGCCAGTATAGCACCGCGGCAATGACAACCTTGTAATGAGGTCGCAGAAGATGGAGACGTGGTTCCAAGAAGTTGTTGATCGGACTGCTTCCACGTAATAATTTTTTTTTCAGGTTGGCGACCGTTTGGGCTGCGCGTGCACGGTCTGTAAGGATGTGGTGAAGTTCACAAGAATCATGATCCTTGACCACGTTGTAAGTTATGCACTCTTCTTTAGGACCTCATCGATCTAGGGTCATCGAATTTATTTATGATTAGAAATTCTTTTGACGCTTAGGTAGCAATAGATGAGTCAATCATGAAAAGGGACCATGGGCGCATGTTTGGTAGTCATCAATACACTCATTTTCTTTTGGGAGAATGTTATTCGAGGTTTGAAGGAAATTGGTTCTAAAGGCCTTTGCAGAAAATGGTTTGCTAAAGAAATTGTCTTACATCGATGCCAAAAAGATCCTGGGCTATGTATAGTGTAAGGTCGAAGGAAGTAGCGGCGAGCGTTTACGGTAGGACACCATCCGTGCACTTGCGAGGAGGGATGAGTTACGGTACAGAGAGCGGTCACCTCACACTTTGCTAGACCACTCTGGTGCGAGTTTGCCATTCGTGGTGAGTCCCTCTCACCGCAAGCGGCAACTTTGAGCTCTTGCTCAGCACCAGACACGATTGCCACATGGGGCTAATAAGTAGGGGCAAATGATCAGAATGTCGTGGTAACGGCTTAAAATTAGGCCTAGGTAATGAAAGAGGTATCGCAGTAAATGCCCTGCGCAGGCCACTGTAGATGTCTCATTAACGTTCTGTCAACCTCATCCACTCTTTTCTGCGATTTTCTCAAAATCCATCTTATGTCTACAGTGCCTCTTACTGGATAAGACATAATCACAACGTTGATGTGTCTCGAGAGCCACCGACCTAGAAAATACCAATTTCGTGGCGATTCTCTGCATAACATGTAAATCTAAGCACAATAGGTTTTATTTTGGTGATACCATACGTCATACGGGAGAAGTAATTAAAGTGAGGGAGGCTGAGCCTTGCACTTCATTGTTAGAGCTGTCTCTAGTACTGACTTAGTCAGCGAGAACAATTCAGATGACTGATCCTATCTGATTCCGATTTGTTCTAGCCAACCGAAGAACAGGTGCTCGACAAGGTTTGTCGACGTATATTCAAGTCCGATGAATCGAAGGAACGCCTTTGCGAAGATATCGTCAAGAGCGAGCTTCCCGAAATGATCAAGTATGTAAAAGAGCGAATCGATCCACATAAAGTGTGTAAGAAGTTCTGCTAATTTGGTTGCCCATAACGTGTTTGCAATACTAAGTCATTACCAAATATTTATTATATAATATTATTACGTCAGTGTATTTATTCGGTTCATAAAATGTTTCACTCTGTCATTATCGAGTTCGTTCATCCATTTCCCGTCCTTTTTGAAGTCCGATCCAACAATCAAAGCATCAGCATTCCGGAATTGATGGACATTTGAAGAGGTAACGCCAGATCCAATGAATATCGGCAAAGAGCAGTGAGCTCGCACAGCTAGAACGAAAAATCTTAACAATTACACTCTGGCAGCGGTAATTTGCTTGGAGGCAGTGGGTATTAAGGTGTGCGGCGTTAGAATCAATCCGCTCCCCGCTCGCGGCGATTCATTATTAGTTGCCTCGTTATGCTTTAGTGTGGGCTGTCTGTCTTTATGTCTGTCTTCGTGAAAGAATTCCCTCGCTGAGTACTATGCATTCGTGGCAATTTCTTCTGACGCCATGAGTGCATGGCTCGGGACAACTACTTACCAAAGTTGACAAATATCGCAAAACTACTAAGGTTTTCTCCGTACAAGGTCAAGTTCTCATTTTTGAAGAGCGAAACCATCATTTTTGGTCAACTATCCAACGATTACCCTCAAAATCCGCAGTATCGGCTGCTTCTCCCGTACAGCGTCCCGTCACGACCACACCATCTGCGAGGAAAAACTCCGCCCCTTCTGCAACGTCCCCAATGGAGTGATCGGACGTGACAGCATGTGATCTAAATCGATACCTAATCATTTCGAGAGTTCTTTGAAAGTAGTCAAGAATACTTTAGATAGTATGTAAATCATGTAAAACGTCCTTCGCAAAGGCAAAGTAACCCACGAGTGTTTTTTCTTCACGTCAGTCACGACTGCCACCGAGTCGGCTCCAATAGAACGCCTGTATCGGAGCAGCTCACCAGCACAGCCATCCATCCAGCCCTCATCAGCTACATGCGAAAACACAAAACACTCAGCACGGATCAGATCGAATCCTATAAGAAGCTTCGAATCAGATGTCAAAGTGATGGGGCAGCGAAGCCTTTCAAAAAGCTGGTGTGAGACATTGGGACCACAACTTTTACCTGAACAGTGAGCCACGGCTAGTGCTTCTTTGTTTGCTCCGGCCAAAATTTGGACACCGAGAAGCATCTGATCTCGTTGTTGACGAATCGTCTGAGAAACAGCTTAAGGATATCTCTCAGGCTTCTCGACTTAAACACTTTTCTAGAAAATTTCTGGCTGTTTCGCGTACCTTGACATGCCAAAGTCATGGACGATATGATTTCTGGACCGATTGGAGGCTTCACGTACGGTATATCGTGCATGTTCTCGACAATAATCCCGTCCTAAAATGGTTGTTAAAATGGTTCCTCGTCAATTTCCAAAGACAATCATGTCTATGAATTTGTGCTTGTAACCTGAATAGGAAAGGGAAATGTGGTAGTTGGCCCTAAATATATAACCCCTACTCTAGCTTCCTCTCTCAATCATCTTTCACTGTCTTTGCGCTGCCAACTCTGCTGTTATTGAGGTTATTGGGTAGTAGAAGCCAACGGAAATACGCTTTGTACATGTGGGCCATTAGAAACTAAAAAGAACGATATAGACCATATCCGAAAAAAACGTATAAGCCCATGCGTACTCGTTCTAGTGGCTTTCAAAAACCATACTAACTGATGAGAGCCTAAGATCCTTTCCATCCAACCTTACTCATTTCCCGTGTATTATCAGGCCTTTGGGCATTGGGCTGAGTCAATTAATGTAGCTGGGTACTCGTTTTCATTTCCTCGTCTCTGAACGCGTGAAAATTCAAAATGAGGTGGCCAAATTTGAATTTCAAATGTCCAAACTCTGCTATTATGAAAAATTTAGCCAGAAAAGCACTAAACTTCAATACATTTGTCCATGACTGTGTGGGTGTCTGCCCGACAGAGACATAACTTTCCTTGCTTATCCCCCTTTCCAAGCGGTGAAATTATAGGGAGTTACGGAGGTTAACTAGTATTTTAGCACATGAAATTGCTCAATGTCAGAAGATCAACGCAACGATCGATTTCTTTGAGAATCAATCCCAGTTTAGAAAAAGTGTGAATGACCATAGACGGCAAGTATCGATTTCATCAAAAATGTGGTACATTGTAGCGAAAACTAGTGGAAATAAGAATATGCACACTACCATGCAAGCACCCTCAGTTTCAAGAGCACTTACCACTTTTGCTGATGCGTAAATTCGGGCTTCTTTCTTGACGATTTCCAGGATTTCGGGTAATGCCAGCTTGTTCATTGGAGTCCTAGAAATGGGAAGCGACAAACTTGAATAAACTATAAATTAAAATTGCCTCTACATCGTGTAAAAGCCGTAGTGCGCGAAGGACTGCTCCTTCATGGATCGTTGCCCTGCAATAACTTTTAAAGTTGTCTAAATTACGATATTTTCCAGAGCGGAGGTGCAGTAGCAAGTGGCGCACTTCACACACGCATAGTCACGGGTTTCAATCCCAGATCGATATTCCTCAAGGCTAATCAAACCTTGCATCCCTCCTGGGTCGGTCAATCGGTACCAGACTCATCTGGGGGGATGGGAGCGATGACTTGTTCATAGACTGACCACTGCAAGTATTCGTAGAGAACAAACAAGCACTAAAAACGTCGCTACTACCTAGAATGGAAGTGGGATGCGGCGCTCATCCTAAACGGGATCGGAAATGCCAGAAATGGCATCTTTTTAAGATATTTTCTACGACAACTCCTGAGGGTTGATAGGTTCGTTAGTATCTGTGTGAATGAGATGGAAGGCATGTTCCACAGGTTCCATTCAGATGCAGACGAAGGAACTATAGTAGAATGAATATTTGCATCATTCCTCACGAAAACGGCTATTTATAGATCAATTTCCTGCTGATTCGCGACTTTTGATGGATTAGGTTATCGCAAACTGTAGGTATTCACAAGAAAAAAAGGCTGTAATGAGTGGAAAGGTAAAATTATAAGCAAGCACATCCTACCCTGGCAGTGCTGGTACATGGATCATCCCAAATACGTATGGCCGTGCATACTCGTTTATTATGCGAATTGCTCGTCTCATTGCTGTAATAATGAAGCATAACGCTGTACTAGAAAATTTCATAAGTAAAAAGTAATATGTCATTAAAATGCAGTTTATGTAAAACATCAAACTAATATGACTGGTATCTGACGTGAACTCTACACTTAGGATGCTTGGAGCAGCCAAACCATACTGAAGACTCAAAAGACTCAAAAGTTACACTTAGAGGAGCTTGTCTGACTATTGTGTCCAAGCTTTTCAGCATGGTTCGCCGTGCACCGGACAGTTCAGAGAAAATCGTCAGACCAGCAAAACGGAAAGGATGCATGCTGATGCAACGGGAGCGGTGTCCTCAGAATTTTTCTTGCCCTTCAAACACCTCAGGACAGTGGAGCTAAGTCAGCGGCATGAATTATCTTGAATTCCCTATTTTTCAGAATGTTCCCAGGCTGTCCTTACCCCAGTTCTTTCAAAGAAGAGAAAGAGGGTGTAAAAATGGTGTGCCTTTGAAGTAATGGCGCATCTGTAATCTTCAAGAAGTTCAAAATGTTAGGGTTTGTAATTATGGAGCTATAAAATTTTTAGATTTTTTTTCAGGGAAAGAAAAAAAANAAAAAAAAGAGAATAAAAAATGATGAAAATTTGTCCAATGCACAATTCATTGAGTCTGTTACACGCATGTTTGCAAATCCTTCCAAAAAAAGCCCAACTGGACGAAATTTTGCGATGCAATTCACTCTTCGTAATTAAATCGGTGCTGGGCTCTTGAAGTCAATAATAGATAAAAAACAATCTCGCGATGCCACCTACAAAGGTTATTATCGTTTTGTCGGAAAACCTTGGACATTTACCATTCTCTACCTTTATGAAATAACTTTTCGAACGATGTTATGTATTCCGAAGAAATAATGGCCGTAACTAATAACAATATAACGAATGACTTGAAAGTAGGCAAAAGTATGAAATCCAATTAAGGGTGAGTTCGAAATTCCTGAAAAATTAGGCCTAGAAAAGGAGAAGTTTGAAAGAAAAGCGCTGCTAGAAGGGGAGTGGAGCACGTTGCAAAGGTGAAGAGAATTGTATGGAGATAATTCGTCATTATCATATCTAAACAGGTCACTATCGATCAATCTCCCACACGACACTTTCTGCCACCGGAAAACGAACGATTTCCGTTGATCAGAACTATGAAAAAAATGCACGTTCACTATTTGCTATTACCATGCTTCATCTTTTTATAACACTGCCGAAGAAAAGGTAGAAAACGAAGCGGAAACTTGAGTTATTATACCATTTTTCCTCTAAGGTAAGTAAGATCGAAGTCTACCCAGAATATCTTAGCTGTCCAATCAACTTGATTATTACAATAGGATTTATCGAAGTCCGAAGTGGAACAATGACAAAATATGTTCCAAAGGGGTCCTGGGATTGGAAACTTGATCAGGCTGACGTTTGGGTGCTCCAGTCTTCATAGGTAAGCTGAAATGGTCAAAACATCAGATATGGAATAAAAACACTTACTCTAGAACTATTATAGAACTAAAAAGAAAGAACTTAAAAGAGAAGAAGGAAAAAATCTAAAGTCTAGAACTGAACGGCTTATACGAGGTTGTTGGAGCAGTTTCCCATCATTCACTTTTCCACAAGTCAAAATTTCTGAGAATAAATCTGAAACCTTCTGTCCTAAACACAAATAGATGAATGGATTGGTGCCATTATTATATCGAGTATGTCTTAGCATATCATTGTTATTATGGTTTGTGTCAAGACAACACAGATTGTAACAATTCGTTCTAGGACCCACACACAATCAGCAGATCGCCGAGTGATGAGGCGATGTTTTTTTCCTATTCTTATTTCCTCTGTTGTTCTTTTTGCTGCGGCGATCCCTCGATTAATTTCCTACTTTTAAGGTGCATTTTTGCTTACCATAGTCAGCTATCAGCACCAGGACTACACACATGCGCATTGACACACTTTGTACAGGTCGTCCAAACACCCCTTCTTCATCATTTTTCTAGTCTCCTTCTCGTCCAGCTCCCTTTTGAGGATTTTTCGAAGCCTTTTTCACTCTAGAGACACGGATTCGCCCACTCTCTTCGCCTTCATTTCACTATTCTCCAACTTATCTTCCATTTTTCGTCATAATCTGAATCACTCGAAATTATCGTGAACTGTGCCTTTAACCTTAAAGAATCATCACCTCTAGTTCTGACACAGGCAGTAGTAGGTTTCAACAGGCATACAAAATACAGTGAGAATCTTAGAGCGCAAGGTAGGAAAAAAGTTCGTGTCGAAGAAAAGTCAACCTTATAGCTTTTGATTTTCAGTCCTTCTGAACTATCCTTTGCAAATCGGAAGGCCTACCATGTAACTTACAGGTGTTTTCGGCTTCATAGGTTCCGGAGAAGGTAATCCAGCCTGAAGGTCACTCACGAATGAAGTGTTATTTCAATTCCGGAGGCCTAGCCAAGGACAACAACAGAAGATCGCTATGACCATTTTGGAAATAAACGAGCATCTTTCCGGGACTGTTTCTTTGAAATTAGTCCAACATGGACTAAATTGAAGTTGTTAGATTTGGCCAATTCTGCCGTGGAGTACGCCAAAGCACCCAGACACTAGACACCCAAAGACCCAGGAGTTTGATACTTGGCCTATATAACTTTTTGCAGGACTAGGTCAACGATTGAAGAGTCAGTGCTTTTAACACGTTGAAATCACAACTGGTTACAGATTCCTTAGTTGCAAGTTGCTACTGTGCTTGGTACCTTTAGCGACTCCCAACTGTGAAGAACCTGCAAGCCCGAATTGCTTTCAGCTATCGAGAAAAAGTAGACTTCCAGCTGTGGCTGTTCCTGCAAGTGAAAATACGGAGAGGCACGCGAGTGGTAAGAACCAGCGGTAAGAACGAGTTACGACGACGCATTTCGTAAGGAAGGTCCGAGGTAAATTTAAGAGAAAACGAGTAATTTCTGAAGCAGACGGGTTGGAGTAAAAAGCACATACATTCATCTTCTTCCTGGACTTTTTATCAGCCATAACTTGGCCATTTCAACTTCCTCATGAAGGGGGACGTTGCACTAGAGCATTTCCTCGGTTGTATGGAAAGTGGGATCTGTAGGAACACCATGACCATTTTGGGGGTGTGGTGCGTTAGGAACGAAATGGTCGCGTCACGGTGAGAGGGGCGTCGCGCGCGAAGGAATGAAGCAGGATGCTGCAATGGGTAAGAAATACAAGAACAAAAGTACTAATAGTAGAATTATGCATAAAATAATGATCGCATATCGATTGAGCTGTATGAAGAACGCTAGAGCTGTAGTAACGGCGAATGAGTGGCCCGCGACAGCCGCGTGCGGAAAATCGATTACCCAAAATCGTTCCTAACGCCCGTCTCTCCCATTTTGGCACTCCATTTTTCCACAAATGACTTCCAAAAATAGTACAACTATGCACAGACTTAAAAATAACCTGAATGACTCNTAACGGCGAATGAGTGGTCCGCGACAGCCGCGTGCGGAAAATCGATTACCCAAAATCGTTCCTAACGCCCGTCTCTCCCATTTTGGCACTCCATTTTTCCACAAATGACTTAGAAAATAGTACAACTATGCACAGACTTAAAAATAACCTGAATGACTCAAGTTCCGGCCTATCCTTTACCTCGGAAGCTTGAAAGGATGCAATCGACCTCCGAGCTTATTCGACCAGATATCTCATTCAGTTTGATTCGATCCCAGCATCCTACAAAGCTTTTGAAACCTACCAAGTGAACAATTCTAGGTAAGTGAAAGTACCATATTCCTCTGGTATCCACAATCAGCTACCACCAACAATAGTCAAACCTGATTGTCTTGGGTTAAAAGCCTGTGGTTAGTCGAGGAACATGACGTTCCACTACTTTGTGCTGTTTCCTAAAAAAAAATTGAATTCAGGTTGGCAACTCTTTCTGTTTGGCTCGTGAAACCACTTTTGATGTTGCCAACTATGAATTTGACGATGAGACGCATGTAAGTTCATGGGGCTTTATCCCCGACTTCGGTATTCAATGAATAGTGGTTGTTCGGATCCTTCTAACGTACCACGTGCTAAAACTTGTGTTGAAGATCCACTCTAACTGTGCGAACTAGTTTGGACCGCTTTGGAATAACACCTAAGGATCAAGTTGTCAAGCAGTTCGAATTCGCCTCTTTCTCCGGGTACCGTCATTCTGTTTCTCTGTCACGGTTTCTTAAAGGATGGCCTTGAAAAAGTACTAGCCAGTTCACATTGTTCAAATCCAGTATTCAAAGACTTCTGGTAATACATATTTTCGTTCGCTAAGCATTTACACTTCACTGTGAACTTTCTCACCGAACAGCCTTCTTATGTGTCCTGAACTGACCTTTGAGGTCCAACTTGAAAACTTCTATCTTCTGGTGATTTCAGTGAGGTTTTTTTCAATGCTTGTAGCACCCTAATTTCTTTGAGCAAGATTAGGGACAAAAACTAAAGTCAGCTCAACTCAGTTGGATTACTTCAATCCAGATCAGATGGTTTTCGGACGAGTTGCCTCTCTTTAGTCAGCTTCATAAATAACTCTGGTTTTTGAATCACTACTAATTTTCCTTTTCGGTGGATCGTTAGTCTCTCGCTCAACTGTAAGACTACGCCGACGACCATTAATATTTGGATCGTAGTCAAATTAGTCAGGGTGGATTTACTCCAATTGCCCCTTTTACCAGTGATAAGGCAAAATGTTAGAACGAACCTATGCTATGAAAAAGGTTTCATTTTGGGAAGATTTCCTGATTGAGGAAGCCCATCTACCCTATTCTAGTGAATTTTAGGCGGTCCTACAGATTCAAGACAGCTTTTCTGAAGATTGACTCCTTTGTCCTAGGCCCCTGTTCTAAACTAGGTGAATAGAGTTGGGAGTAGAATTGGGCTAGCCTAAGTTTGGTGACTTTGGCCTATATATCAGTTCCTACGTCAAACTCATTCAAGGTCTTTAGCAATTCGTAGGATGGGGCCGATACCGTTTCTGTAAGTTAAACGTCGTATTCACAGTATGTGGTCTACTCAGATTCGTAATTTATGCGACACATCTCCCGATCTCGAACGAGAATCCGCAGTTCCACGGACCATGGTCAACATTCTGACGGTCACCTCTGTAAGTCTTCTTCTTCTCCAAAGTAAGTTGTTCTAAAGTTTTCTCCTCTTCTTGAAATTACGATTCTTTCTATATTCCAAAACAAAACGTTTGCTTGACTTTGCAAAAGCCGTCCGTCCATTGAAACTACATGTGCTCCTTAAGAATGAGAAATTCTCCCTTTCAGGTTCTCCTCAGTCCTTTCTCTTACATAAGTACAAGTTCTTAGTTGCAGAATGGAAATTGTTTCATGCAAAAACTTGTTACGAATTACGAGCTCTTTGCAATTCGATGTGATGAAAGCTTCAGAGACCATATTGTGATCAAACTATGGATTGTACTATTGTCAGCTGCTTCTGAATTTACAAGTGAGGCGCGTCTGTCATCTGCATCTGCGTCCGAACTAGATGTAATAGTAATAAATAAATAATCAAATGATCCAGGCAATTGCTGTACATATTTTTCCTAGTTTACACCGTTAAGCTTATTTGGTTGGAAGGGACATTGATATGGAAAAGGGGGAACCGGACCCTCTGAGTAGGTGCCTACACTGTTTTGTCCAACAAGTGATTGATGCCGGATGTTCACACTGGATAATCTGGATCACAGAACTACTTGGACTAGGCATTGATAGCGATAGAGAACCTTTTAGTGGCTCCCAGCTGTTGGCATCGAGAAGTTATCTAGTAGAAATGACGTTCTACTTCACCAGCTTCTTCTGTTCAGTGTCTGCTGCATGAGAATAGAGAGAATCGTTGCCCTTACCCTCCATGAAAGTTTCGCTCGAGGAAATGACCAAGGTGTTCTTCAGAAGTTTCCCGAATGTTTCCAAATAAACGATGTCCTCCCTTTCTTCCTCGACGTCGTTAATAACTGTAATAATTAATACTCACTAGAATTGTAGAACTCATAGAACAGTATTTATTATAGTAATCATTGAAAGCCTCGAAACTGTAGGTTCAACTTTTCTGGATTCAATATCGTCTATCAATCTTTTCTTAATCAACCTCCCAAACAACTCCCTATCCACTTTTTTTACTTATTTCATGGAAAACGTGCTTACCACTACTGCCAACAAAAAGTTGAACCGAACTACTTCGATTAGTAGGCGAAGTAGTCCTTGGGGACATTATGCGTAACTCTGTAAATAATTTTATGTAGTAGAAATGTATTGTGTTTAAATACGCTTTTAAGCAAATTCGTTCTTGGCCACTGACGGCGGTAAAGAAGTCATGGATAGTGTTTACGATGAAACGCTCCATTTTGAAGATGAACCTTCCTTCAACTTGACTTCAGAGCAGATCAAGGTAAGTCAGGACATGGACTGATCCCAATTACTCCAAATCCTTAGATAAACTTTTATTCACCGATGATAATATTATATAGTGTGAGGTAGACGTAGACCAATTACGGTACGGTACGTAGGAAGATCGAATACCGATTCGGTACCCACACAGACCCTTAGGGTATAGTACAGCATTCTATTCTTTTAGAATAAATTAACTGGTGCTAAACCCTCTAGGAGGTTGGGAGCTCCCGTTTGTACATCGGGTTGAAGCAGGGATCAGTTAGACATTAGATTGACTAAGTGCTCATTCAAACGTCACTCCGATTCCAAGTATAAGTCGAATGCGTAGGGCTGTTTCAGAGAGGGTGGTCGGAACCAGAATGTGTTCTCATGGGAAAGGGAAACTAGGGTGATATTTGGGAGTGAGCATTCATTTGCACATTTCTTTGGAACTGTCGCTCATTAGGCCATGAAAAGAGGAGCAGTTAACCATTTTTCTTGAGCAAACTGTAACTCCTGTAGAAAGCAATAAAAACAACATGCCCCAGGTAAATGTGCCACTGTCATGGCAAAAGCCCTTTTGGTACATCAGTGTCATTTCCATTCTCAGTAATCCACTGGTTCAGAATTACTACGAGAAGGATTCGATAGAAAAATGGAACAAGACTCGTGATCTGACAGCCATGGTACTTCCTTACCGAAAATCCAAGCCACAAAGCGGTTCTTCGTATAGAACTGATACCAATGTGAAAAAGAGAAGTCGACTTGCAATGACCGTGCTGGGAGTATCTCCAAAATGGAGGTCGTCAAGTGATTCAGGTACACTGCTGTTTATTTCTGGGTGGTCCACTGTGCAGGAAAGTTTTACTGAAATATTTTGGTTTACAGGAATCGAGCTACCGTCGAAGGATGTGGCACCTGTCCGAGCCATGACCGCTGATCCAGAAATAACCCTGTTTATGAACCATACACCAATACTGGATACCAAAAATACTAAAGTCAGTTTATCCTTCTCTACTTACACTATGTGATGTTGAGTGTGGACAGGCTTGGAGAGAGGAGACATTTCTGTTATATTGGGTTAAAAGCAGCGCTAGATAGACAATTAGTCCTGAGGTTGACCTGAATAACGAAGGGAAGCTACTACAGAGTACAGTCAGGTTGTTCTACCGGGTAGAGCGCTCTTAAGCTCCGAGAAGAGAGTAGGGTCAATTGAGACTGAAAGTCTTTTCCCGCTGCTCAACCCTAGGCCGAAGGATAGCACCATCACGGTGGTAAAAATGTTTTGGTAGCAAACTTTCTCGAAACAGTAACATTTTTTGAAGAGACTCTTTCTGAGAGCAACGAAGTTGGCGAAGTTAGCAACTGAATAGAAATGATGCTTAAATATTTTTCAATAATCCCCTAATAGTCCAACAAACACCACACGAGCTCGCTACGATGTAACTACCAAAGTTCTCCCCTACTAGTAATGACCTAAATTCAATACATATATATTTCAGCCTCACAGAATCGACTTCCTCTATACGAACACTAATCAATCTGGTGACAAGAAGATACAAGGTAATAGCCGCTAAGGTTTCAAACACTCACATGACTCCCTACTGTTTGCACGTGAAAAGTATGATAATTGATTGCATACGGAAAAGTATGGTAACATTCATTCCAAGCTCAACTCCGTCTGGGCGTTCATTTGGTAGGGGCACGTCTCTTTTTCTACATTTCAGTATCTCTACTACGTAGCCAGATGAGCTTCTTTCCTCAAAAGTTCACTAAAAGACTGTGCGGACTACATGAATCCTAGCCCTCCTCGCAAAATTTTCTGTCTACCCGGGTCATCTCCCACCTTTTCTCTTAATTTTCGCGTCCCTGTTTCC